GTGCATAATTGTGTGACAAAAGCTAAAACAACATTTCACAGCTGGTCAGCATAAAAAGTGACTTGTCGGTATTACTTTACAGATAACACCTGTATGTCTTAAATAATACATATGTACATTTTTCACTGGAAGACTTTAACACAGTATAAAATTTCTGCGAATAAGAAAAATGAAAATCTAGCTTTTCCAAAAAAATTACTTTTTATTATATTAAACTTCAACTCTGAAGCATATGTTATCGATATGTCCTAATCAGGTGGAGAAAGTGCTTTCAAGTTTTATCATACGTGCAGTCAGCTTTCCTAAAGGAAAAAGAAAAACCTCTGCAATGCAGGGCTCAAGAAAGTTTCTTTTTGAGGGGAGAAGGGCAGATAGTCTAATTCCCTGTCCTATTATTCAGGGTCTGATTAGAACTCTCTATTCACCCATCAGTGTAGCTAGAATCAGTGATTAGAATAAGTATGTGTCAGGCACAAGCGTGCTGACATGTTATGTGTGTTAATGTGTATGAGAATGTATCTGTGCATTGATGCAGCAGGATTCATGTTCCACCACTGTGGCCATGGGAGGAAAAGGAGAGGCAGGGAAAGGGATTGAAAAGGAGGAAAGAAGGACTGTTCAGATGTAGCTTCACCCTCTAAAAACCTGGATTGGTATCAAAGCTAGAATAGGAAATATAGTCCCTTCTCTGCTCCCAAAGAAGTAGAACTTGCAAAGCTAAGTGGCACTGGAAGAAAAAGCTCACCCAGAATCTTTTATAAATGGCCCCAAGCAGTAGTGGAGCAGTTGCTGCTAAGAGAGTCCATGCACCCTTCTGCCAAAGAGATGGTACTAAGAGGGCTCCAGATGCAGCATGGACTGGGGCAAGGATCTTGATGTGGGAAAGAAAAACACAGAGTTGAGAGACTGAGTCTGCTACATAGGACGTACGGAACAGGTGTTTGGCTGGAAGGGAATATTTTACTGTCAGATATTTCCTCACTCTTACTATTAAAATCATAGTTTTAGGAGAGAGAAGGAAATGACACTTTAGCAAATGGAAATTTGAGAAAATACTACTTACAAGGATACACAAATCCTATGGAGTGAAGCTGTACCAGAAATCCCGGGCTCCTGGCACCTGCAGGAGCCATTCTCTTGCTTTTTTTTCTCTATATATATGTAGTTTCCAGTTTGCATTCCAAATGTCTATTGGTACAATTGGCTCCATGTCTGAACTGTGAGTTCCTTGAGAACATCAATCCTACTTTATCCATCTTCACATGCTTCTAGAGAGCCACCCAAAGCACTACAGAGTAGGTCCTGGACAGATACTTGGTAAACTGGATAGATCTTTAAAGGTCTTCTAGATTGAGCACAAAGCTAGAATAGTAAATATTCGCCTTTCTCTGCACCCTTTAAGTTTCAGAAGATTCTGCCAGCAGTTAGTTTTTTATCCACAGGCAGGCCACTTCAGCCTCTAAGTCTTCCTCATTGGCAGAGAGAAGAAGCTGTAATCTAGATAATCTCCAAAATAATGTGCAACTTGTAACATACGGAAGTAGAAAGTCAGTCTTCCTTTTGGGAAATGTAAAATTATATGTCAGTTGCATTTGGGATCATACATTCTATAAATTCAGTAGAAATTTCTCATTAAATATGCACACATAAAATGGTTACTTAGCATAATGCAGTTGTGTAGCAATTGGTCTACCTATACGTGATTATTAATATATTTTGTCTTTCTACAACAAAAACTTTAGCTATTTTCATCAAGTGCAAAGAACTTCTTTGGACTGACAGACAGTTTTCTTTCTGGAACATATCTCACCCTAATCCACTAGCATAATGTTTTAAAAACATAACCCAATGAACCTTCCAAATTATTCAAGTTATTTTCTAAATAAAGTAAAATAAGCTATATGCAAGGCAAATCGAAATTGAGCATTTAAGAATTTACTCTTTATATTTTAAAGCTGAATTATTAAATTTCCTTTTGAATAGTCGGTTCTAGTTAGTATTTAGCACTTGATGTTAACATTTGGAACTGTATCACTTTTTATCCTGTTCTTCAATGTATTTCTCAAAATTTGCATGATCTGAGTACAAATGGCATTATGAAATTAAATATAAAGGCCTAAGTTAGATACAGGATCCATGTGAGAAGCACAGTGTTCTTAAGAGGACAGAAAAGCTTCATTAAGAAGGAAATTCATTTGGAATTTCCTTAAATTCCAAATGAGAAGTCTGTGAATGAAAAGAACTCTAATTGGGGCGGCATCTGTGGCTCAAAGGAGTAGGGCACCAGCCCCATATGCCGGAGGTGGCAGGTTCAAACTCAGCCCCGGCCAAAAACAAAAAACAAACAAAAAACCCAACTCTAATTAATAAATTTAAACTACTGTCACCTAAAATGCCTCTCTATCAAATGATCCTTTGAGGTGAACAATGATGAAATAGTTAAACTTATTGAATCAAGGTTGTTTTAGAAATGTTATTTAGTTACAAATATGGGAATCCTCCCCCCCCACTGGAACTGGTAAATAAATAAATAAATAAACAAAGTTTGTGGTCTGTGAGTACAAGGCAATGACCCCTGGAGAGAGGGTGGTGACAGAGGCTCTACCGGGGACAGAGAAGAATGCAGTAACCATATCCTTCTCCTCCTTGCCTTAACCCTAACTGACCACTTAATTCCACCACTGAGGCATTGTGAAATTAAAACATAATGGCAACACGGCAACTTCCCCCATGCCCTGGCATATTTTAAAATCCAGGGGCTGTTGGGTGTCCCTGGGATCCCAAAGATAACTTAATTTATAAATGAGAACAAGATGGGAGGACTTCTTTTACTCTGACTCTCCCAGGACCCCAGGATGCTGTAGGCACAAGTCAATGGGCATTGCTGCTAGACAATTCTGGAATGCCTTGCAGATGTTGAGGACCTCAAGTCAGGCCTAGACCCTCATGGTTCCCTCCCTGATAAAATGAACTACTTAAAGACCACTGACAGGCCCCACCTTGCAATCCCCTGCACCACCAAAGTTAAACGTAGAAAAAGATGAGAACGTGCTAATTACACTGGATTCCTTTTTCACTGGCACATTAATTAGCCTGAAGAATGATGGGAGGGGGCGCTCTTGCCCCTACAGTACCAGACCTTATAACGGTTGCCAGGTATTGGTTGGAAACTCCTCGGGTTCTCCTTCATTCTTAGAATTGATAATTGAAGGAGACAATGGTAAGGAACGAATGAGGAGCCATGACAATGCCGCCGTCGTACCAATCAGCACCAACCTTCCTTCCCTCAAAAGTCTTCAGAGCACGGTGGTAAGTCAAAGACTATGGTGATGAATTGTTCTGGGACAGACCAAAACCGTGATGGGTGTTTATCACTTAATTGTCATTTAGAAGGAAGAAAAAGAGAAAGAGCACGGAATTTTAAAATTTGGGGAGGCGGCCTTGACAGAATTCCCTTCAGGAGTTAACTCTTTCCTGCCCTCCCTTTTTTAAGTAAAGACAGTTCCAGTGGGCCAGGACTAAGTGACAGATCGTCGCACGGACTAAAGGCGCGCTTGAGAAACAGGGGAGCCCGCTGCCGTACGCACACAGAGCCTCGGACTTCCCAGGCCCGTGGGCAGCCCTGCCCTGGGGCACAACAGCGCGCCAGGAAGCGCCCTCGGCTTTTCCGCAGCCCAGCCGCTCAGCTGGTGGCCGGGAGAAGTTAGTCACCCCAACCTGGCAACGTCGGAGCGCGGACAGGCTGGGGAATCGGGAGGAAGGAAACCCGGTACCGGGATTGATGGGAGGAAGCGAGAAGAGCGCGGGGCTCGGGGAATCAAGAGAAGCTGGAAGCCCTTGCGGGTGGATGGAGTTGCAAGGTCGGCGGGGGTGGGGGAAGCGCACTGGCTCGCAAAGAGGAAAAACTTGCGGCAGGAACTTCCTACCGAGGGCGAGTAGGGCAGGCGAGAAGGAAGCAGGGAGAGACTTGAAATGTCTCAATAACTTTAAAAACACACCAAAACACCCGTTCAGGACATGAGGTAAGCCGAGGTTAACCAAACCCAATTGGTTGTGAAATATCAGACAGACCCGGAGTCACTGTGGCTTTAAATAAGGCCAAGGAAATCTTCTGTTTTTCTTGCCCAAATACTTTTTTCTCCCTTGCCTTTGGTCCCTCCCTTGTCCCTCCTTCCACCTCGCCAGGTCCCAGTCCCTTCCTCCTTTCTCCTCTCCCTTTCCTCGATCACCCTCCCCTTTGCCCTCCCCCAGCTGATTAGGCGCGGACGGGGAAGGGTGGGAGTGGTGGGGGAAGCTCTCCCTTTAAGAGGCAGCGTGCAGTGACGAATTGTTGAAATTGCCATTGCAGGATGGCATGCCGCTATAAATTCATTGTTCCACCTCCTCGCATCTTCACAGCGCTCGCGCTGCTCTCGGCGCTCGCAGCGGCCGACTGGGGATGACTGCGGGCAGGAAGACACCTCAGCCGGAGGGACACCGACGCGCCGCTCCACCAGCTCGCCGCAGGCCGCGCCCTGCGATTTTGTTTTAATTTTTATGGCTTTTCCCCCTCTCTTTCTTCCTTTCCTCCTGGTTACAGCAGAGCCAAAGAAACCCACAAAATAAGAAAGGAAGTGGGCCCGGAGCTTGGAACCTCCTCAGCCAGCAAGTCCCCAGCAGCAGAGGGGCAGCCGGCAGCGCGCACCAGTTGCCAGCCGGGTGCGCGGTACCTTCCTTACTTTTCTTGGAGCAGCGATCGTGGCTGCGTTTGTGTTTTTCTCTTTTCCCCGTATTTGCTGAATCTCCACAACCTGGCGGGTTTTTTTTCTTTTTTTTCTCCACCTCTCTCTGGAGCACGAATCCAAACATTTTCCAAACCAACAAAGAAAAGTTCGCACGCTGGCACCGGGGCCCGGACAGGCTGGCGCTGCTGCCCATTCCCCCTCCCTCCGACACTTGACTCAGCCTTGCAAGCAAGTGTGTGTGTGTGTGTGTGTGTGTGTGTGGCGCTCGCGAGCCCCATCCCCCGCCCCGGCAACTTCCCTAGCGAATAACAAATACCCATAAAGTCCCCGTCGCGCAGCCCCTCCCCGCGGGCAGCGCACTATGCTGCTCGGGTGGGCGTCCCTGCTGCTCTGCGCGTTCCGCCTGTCCCTGGCCGCAGCCGGCCCCGCCGCCGCACCTGCCCAGGATAAAGCCCGGCAGCCTCAGTCTGCTGCAGCGGCCGCCCAGCCCCGCCGGCGGCAGGGGGAGGAGGCGCAGGAGCTGGCCGAGCCTCCAGGTCATCCGCACCCCCTGGCGCAACGGCGCAGGAGCAGTGGGCTCGTGCAGAACATCGATCAGCTCTACTCAGGCGGCGGCAAGGTGGGCTACCTCGTTTACGCGGGCGGCCGGAGGTTCCTCCTGGACCTGGAGCGAGATGGTTCGGTGGGCGCCGAGGGCTTTGTGCCTTCAGGAGGCGGGCCGAGCGCGTCCCGGCGCCACCGAAGCCACTGCTTCTATAGGGGCACGGTGGACGGTAGCCCCCGCTCCCTGGCTGTCTTTGACCTCTGTGGGGGTCTCGACGGCTTCTTCGCGGTCAAGCACGCACGCTACACCCTGAAGCCGCTGTTGCGCGGGCCCTGGGCTGATGCGGAAAACGGGCGCGTGTACGGGGATGGGTCCGCGCGGATCCTGCACGTCTACACCCGCGAGGGCTTCAGGTTCGAGGCTCTGACGCCGCGCGCCAGCTGCGAGACCCCAGCGTCCCCACAAGGACCTCGCGAACGTCCTCTGGCGCACGGCAGCCCACGTCGACGCACAGAGCTGGCCCCGCGGCTCTTGGACCAGTCCACTACCTCGCCCGCCGGGGATCCAGGACCGCAGACGTGGTGGCGGCGGCGGCGCCGCTCCATCTCCCGGGCCCGCCAGGTGGAGCTGCTCCTGGTGGCTGACGCGTCCATGGCGCGGATGTATGGTCGGGGCCTGCAGCATTATCTGATGACCCTGGCTTCCATTGCCAATCGGTTGTACAGCCATGCCAGTATCGAGAACCACATCCGCCTGGCCGTGGTGAAGGTGGTGGTGCTAGGCGACAAGGACAAGAGCCTGGAAGTGAGCAAGAATGCAGCCACTACACTCAAGAACTTTTGCAAGTGGCAGCACCAGCATAACCAGCTGGGAGATGACCACGAGGAACACTACGATGCAGCCATCCTGTTTACTCGGGAGGTAGGTCCAGCTGGGACGTGTGGTCCCAGCACTGGGAAAAGGAGGTTGTTGGAAGGGACCGTCTTGCTGATGGCTTTGCTTCTCCCACCAGCCACCTGCCACTATGGATTTGTTTAACTGCTTCTTTCAGGAAACCCAGAGCGCTGTCAACTCTGCTTCTGGACTCAGCTTAGTCCTAGCAGCAGTTTTTGCCTTAAATAAGTAGACCTGCTTAGACAATCAGACAGCAAGCAATAATGCTGGATGTCATCCAGTCTGAGACATGGTGGCAAAAGCACATAAACATGGTAAGAAGGTGCTAGAATGCTTGGGAAAATGTAATAATTAAATGAGAAAAAAGGGGAAAGCAAGATTGTCATGGGACGCACAGGTGTTCAGCTTTCCAATGAAACCAAAAATATAACTGCCCAATCTCATAGAAATTGCTTGATGGGTCAGTCACAGGGCTCACTTATTTTTTTTACTAGGACCTTCTTTTGTAAATTCCAATACCTTGTCACTTGAATGCCTTCTGCTACACTCGAGGGAGGGAAGATTTGCCCAGGGACTCCTTTTGCAATCTGGATCACTATTGGAGTTCTTACAGGTCCACCTTGGAACCTCCACTCCTGGGAAGGAAAGAGGGACCAGAGCATGTAGAAACCCCATCAGCAGAGGATCTAAAACTGTGAGGTTCCTTAAGCACTCCTTTGCCTGGTTGACCAATCTGTCACATCTCTGTCCACACCAACTCCACACCAAGGAAGGAAGGAGAGGTCACATCCAGTTCTCATATTTGGGTTTTGGATGAATATGTTTCTGAAGCCCCAGTGCAGGAGGTCTGGGCAAAGAGTCAAGACATGGGGAAGGAATGTTTTCCCAGGATTTCCCTCTTTTAAGAAAGACGGTTACAGGAAAGGAAAGAAATAGATCCTTACAGGCCCAGAGGCTCTGGGAGGAACACAGTATCTGTTTACACAGTGATTAGACCACCACCCGAGTGTGACATTTCCACAAAAAGTCTGGGTTGGTTTGCACATATTTCTGAGCCTCAATTTTCACAACTTTCCTTAGACTGGCAGTTTTAAGTTGCTGCCTCTCCGATGCCTGGTAAGAGTTAGACTTTTAAAGCTCATTCTTTAAGTGTTTGAGAGCCATCCAGAAGAGATGACGGATTACAAACTTGGAAGTATTATGTAAAGTCATGGTATGAAATGAAGCAAACAGAACAAGGATAGGAAATTGGATGATGGATTGCAGGAGACTTCAGAATCACACAGCTTCACTACCGAATTCTTCTATTTTTTACTACAGCACCCCTGGTATGACGGAAAAGTGTTGATAAATTTGGAGTAGAGAAACACTTGCGGTTCATGGGGTGGACATAAATGTGAGCCACATGTAAACAAGGCGCTGAAGGGCTGCCGCTTAGGGGGAGCCAGGCAGTGCTCAGCGCTGTGCACCACGGAAAATCTTTCCCCTCATTAAGTGATCTTCTGGAAGCCATCCTTTCATTCCTCTGCACAGCATTAGTCTTTGAAACTGTAGAACATTCATTTTGTAGCCTTCTCTGTGAAGTGAAGTTCTGTAAACCTATCCTTTTATTATTTGGTTTCCAAGGGTTTTTTTTTTTCTTTTCCCCCTTTTTTCTGTAAGCAACTTTCCACGTCTGGGTTTCCTTGCCTTGCTGCATCACAAGAGGCTGCCAAGAAGGAGGCTTTGGAGAGTTTATGGGAGGAGGCACTCAAAAGAAAGAGGGAAAAATACTTTTTTAGGCATACTGCTCCAAAGAGTAGGTCATTTTAATACTGTGCCTTCATGTTTTAATGCGAATACTCATTGCATACCTTTAAAATTAATACTAATTAATGGATGGTTCGATGCCCTGATTTTCTTAATTGTTTCCCCACTCTCTAAAAAAAAGTAAACTAGTCAGTGATTCTAAACGATCAGTCTCTTGTTTTTTCTGGATTTATTTCTTGTTTGAGTAGTTTATATTCCCATTTTCCAAACTCTAAAACTTATCAGCATGTTTTAACTAGATAGCAGCAAAGGAGAAATAAGTTAATGGTCTATCTTAATTTTAATAAGTGTTGTAATGATATAGATTTTTCAAACTAGTCTACACATGGAAAATATTTTACATGGGCCCTCCCAGGCCTCCTTGCCAAGCAGAAGCACACTTTTAGTAAAGCGAATCTCATTTGTGGTTGGCTTTCTAGTATAGACAACTAAGTTCAGGAGAACTGAGTATTTGAAAAGTATGTGTATTATGAATATACGCACCTAATTTAAAGAGTGCTATTAATTAGGGGGCTGAGGAAAATATTTCAAGACCCTAATGTAGCATTCACTGACAGTTCTTCAAAGTTAAAGTTAATCTCTGCCTAATAATTGGAGAGATGATCTGATCTCTTTTATCTCATCGACATCAAATATCCTAAGGCCTAAAGCAAAACTTTCATAGTTATTTCTTTTTCAATGAAAAATACCCAAAGTTGGCACCAGGATTCTACTTTTACAACTCTGTTTTGAATGTAAGAGGTATGTTGCTTAGCAACCAGACGCCAAGCCATCAAATGCATGTTTTGATGGGCTCTGAGTCCTGTTCAGATTTTGTGTCCAGATGTCTTTTCCTAAATTGCTTGTTTTCCAAGCATGAAGCAAATGTGTGAGGATATGTTTTCCACTCCTGTTTACTAGCTGAGGCCACCTTGAACATTCTGTCTAGGAGTCCGCAGAATAGTGCTGGTAATTCATCTATCGACCTAACACACACTTCACTGCCAGGACTGTACCCAGCACTCTAGTACTATTCTAATTAGAAAGAGTTAGCACCAGTCAATTTCCTGACATGGAAGCTGTTTTCTTTTTGGAGTGGCACTCATGCTGGAATTCACACCACTCCTGCCACCAAACAGTAGAAATCCAATCTCACCAGGATTTCGTTTTTCTTTCCAGAATCCTTTTCTTGTTCCTGACTTCCTCTTTTATTTTAAAATAATTCACTTGAAGACAGACTCTTCAAGCCATTTTGTAGACCATTCACTCTTCAGAAACAAAAGCCTACCTGCTCGCTAACGAACTTAGAAATTGTTTAGCATCCTTACTTCCCTGCACAAGACCAAAAAAAGCCTGACTTTCATAGATGGAGAGCTATGGATTGAAATGGAACTAGCTAAAAGTCTCTGTAACATAGAAGATTTCATTAACTGTCAGCCGGCCAGTTAGTAGCCCATCTTCTCTCAGCTAAAACTCTCTTCTTTCTGCGTATGATGTTGGAGCTCGGGCTCTGGGTTGGAGCTGGGGCTCTGGGTAGAGCAGTTCTCCTTCACCGTCTGGCTCCTTGTTAGGGTCTGACAATAGGGGGCAGTAGAAGGAGGCCAGAACTGGAAGAGGAAGATGGATATGTCTTTTTCTTATTGGCTTGCTGGACTAATTTAGTCACATGTTTCAGTTCAAATCTCATGTAAGTTCTAAGGCGAACGCTTACCAAGACATCATAGCTTATAGGTCAATCCAAATCCATAAAAGCCTAAATAACTCAGAAATGGGGCATTATTGACCATATTCAGCAGCTCCAGTTGATATTTTACAGTGAACTGTATTGGAATAGTCTGAAAAATACAACGTCCTTTAGAGACAGTGCAGCACAACAAACAGGACCTGTTGCATCGTTGTGTCTCCCGTATTCACCACACGTCCACATACTCCTCCTAGGTGTGCTACACTGATTTAGGTAGCAGAAGGAAGCAGGATGGAAGACACCTGGCCCCTGCCCACTGGGCTTATCCTGCAGAGAGAAAGCAGAGACATGCCTGCACTTCTTTAACATTAGGAAAACTCAGATAAATGCTGTAACTGAGCTGTCGACAAAATCTGTACAAAGAAATAGGGAAAGAACAATTGATTCTGCATGTGAATCTTTCTCCAAGCCGTATTGCAAATTTAGAACTGAATTGGTCCTCAAAAGATAAATAGATTTGATTTGGATTCCACTGTCTGTCATTGAGCATTCTTATGTACTATCTATGGCCATTAACTATTTATGATAGTTATAAGCAATCCTTTCAACAATCCACAATCATATCATTATTTTAATCTGACAGATAAGAAATTCATGTGAAGAGAAAGAGAGATAGTCTTTTAGAGTAACAGCTGATAAGGGACACAGGCAGAGATCGACCGGTCTAGTGCTCTCTAAACTAAAAATGTTGTAACTAATTTATTTAAAAGGCCAAGTTGGGCTCGGCGCCTGTGGCTCAAGTGGCTAAGTCGCCAGCCATGTACACCCAAGGTGGCAGGTTCAAATCCAGCCTGGGCCCGCCAAACAATAATGACGGCTGCAACCAAAAAATAGCCAGGGGTTGTGGCGGGCGCCTGTGGTCTCAGCTACTTGGGAGGCTGAGGCAGGAGACTTGCTTGAGCCCAGGAGTTGGAGGTTGCTGTGAGCTGTGATGCCATGGCACTCTACCCAGGGGGACAGTTTGAGGCTCTGTCTCAAAAATAAATAAATAAATAAATAAATAAAAGGCCAAGTTGTTGGGCAGTGCCTATGGCTCAAAGGAGTAGGGCGCTGGCCCCATATGCTGGAAGTGGCAGGTTCAAACCCAGCCCTGGCCAAAAACTGCAAAAAAGAAAAGAAAAGAAAAGATAAGAAAAAAAGGCCAAGATGTTTCTAAATGAGAGGGATTATCCCCTTGTAGAAGAAGTTCAAGAATTATCCCCTTTCCTAAGATTTTATTCCTGGAAACAAACAAGGAAATAGATGATTGCTATAAAGCATGATGACTTTTATAAGAGACATGGTCATAAGATATTATGGACGTACATAAGAAGGTTGTGACTCATTCTGAGTTCAATTTTAAAGAAAGAGTAAGAGTTTTCTAGATGTGTTAGGAGAAGAAGGGTATTGAAGACATTCACCCAACTATCATATACCCAGCGGCAGTGGAATGGCAACAGGTTAGTCTGGACAAGACAACAACAACCAGAGAACAGAAGAAATATATCACCATGTG